TACACTGATACCTTTATTTTATTTTGTTACCTTTGCAGCGTTTTGTGCATGTCTTCGAACATATGAGGTCAGTAATTTTGTCGGCGGCTCAGTATTGACAATAGCATTTTTAAGGGCAATGATATTTCCACCCGCCCCACCCCATTTTTGCTATTTCCACCCACCCCTGAAACCAAAACGGGGTGTGTTTAACAACTGTAATCGAATCAGTATGTGACAACTACAGCGATTGGTCCTATGCACCGCCATTCACACTATAATACTGCAACTCACAAAGGGGTCTACATGATGACTGGTGTAGTCAAGCATCCGTCAGCAAAGATGATTTCCTTCAGCAAAAAAGATTTTGATGGCACTTCCATTAAAAGCATGCGCGTTTAGTTTTTATTCTTGGTTTTCCAGTTCCGAATACAAAAGGAGAAATGATCAATGTGTGTGATCGATTGGATTTAGGCAAGTATGTTGCTGCTGTCGAGCGAAAGGCGAATCGAAAGCCCAAAAGATAAGATTATAGACTCATAGCACGACATGTCAGCACCGAAAAGCTGCGGAAGGTGACCTGACATGAACCAGCGCACCAACATGACATGATCTAAGACCTCGATATGCAAATTTGTGCTAGACTTATAACAAATAAGCAGCAAAGCTATATGCAAATTTGTGCTAGACTTATAACAAATAAGCAGCAAAGCGAATGCGTTCAGATTAAGAGAGTAGGTATGCGGTCAAATGAGCAAATCGCGTTCATCCGACTGTAGTTTCCGGCTTCTGCAACGTAAACCGGAAATACACAATGACAAACAAGAGGAACACAATAGTACGTAAGTATTTATATGCCGGTTCAAGCGCTGTTAGATGAGCTACAAGTGAAGAACTACCGCTATGTTATCAGGCTTGACGAAAAGGGACAAATCTGCTGCTTGATGGCAGTTAATATTCGGCCCATCGACCAAAGCCGTACTCATCATTTGCTTCCTCTTTCTTGCAAACCAGATTGCATATTGGTTAGCTTTAACGGAGTATCAACCATCTATCAGGCGATTCGTAAACTGGCAATCGCACGGCGCGTGGTCTTGTACACCGTGCTGTGTCATGAATAATGGAAAACAACCCTGTATTAGTTTTAGGGGTGAAAATAATAAAATGGGGGTGTAAGTATCAATACCCGAAGTTTTCTAAAACTAAGTGCATGAGAGAAATTAGTGATGGAAGAGGTTGCCCTGCATCGAATAACGACAATATCAGATTTAACGGAACAGAAAAAGAGGAGAAATGACATAATTAAATGAATGAAAAGCTACGTAAACAACGATCTAATCTACTAGAACTAAAGTAAGATAGGGGAGCAAGCTCGGGAGCTCAAACGTTGATATATGTAATTCAGTCCGGATTACTGAATCGATTTGCAAAACATAACGCAACAGCAGCAGTCACTAAGGAGTATGATGCTGTTTTTTTCGATGTCCACTTCACGACAATAGCACAAAAAAGAGACGCTTTTACCCCAATTGGGTCATTGGCGACGCCAGTGGCGTAAATGTGGCTTGAGGTCTGTGTAGCAACGGCATACAGTTTGCAAGGGGATCAGAAGTGATTAAATTACCATTCTGCACGAGAAGATGCCGATGATGATGTTGTTTTCTTTGCATACAGCCTCATTAGTAGCAGCTTTGACCCTGACCTGGCAACTCAACTTATAAAACCACAGAATTTGTATAAGCTTTAGCGTATTGGTTTCCTTTTTCTTCCTTCACGCTCAGTTCTTCTGCCATTACCAATAGCTTCGAAGAACTATTGCGTTCTGTGAGAGTAATGTGTGTGGGTCAAATGGCTGAGATATCTCCGGGGGGATATGTCATCTCCAGAAACCATTTTGCATCAATGTTCTAAGGATTGAATTTTCTAGTTAATAAGATCAAGCGGAATAGCTATGACGCAGCCATTGATAATATTCATGGTTATCTTAAGCTGTCTGATTAAGCGTTAGCTGCAGGTTGGCACTTCAATAAATTCTTCCAGAGTGAATTTATACGGCTCTAGTTTTCACCAACTCTTAAAGCTCTTGAATTGAATGGTAGCACCGATAATTTTGCTTAGAAGAGGTGACTATTTACTTCATAATCGAAATGCGTCGTTTTATCCGGTGATCCTATCGTACGAAGCCAGTAAAGACCATCCACGAGATCCGCTGTCGCCAACACTTGTTGCGAGTTCTTGCGAAAGACATACATCTTGGACCCGTCGAACACCAATTGGAACTTGCCATGCCTGTTGATCTGCGGCACCGAAAGCAGGTTCTTGCTCATACTTGAAACATGTAACGCGTTCTTGATCTCGATCTCGCCCTCTTCACCGTTGGGCATAACCACCTTTTCCATGATAGTTCGTACACCCTTTATGGCCACCTTGCTGCCATCAGCCACCAATAGTTTGACCTCATTGCGCTCTGCCAAAATTGCAAATTCGTGGCATATGTGGTGCGTTGCACCACTGTCGATAGCCCACATTCCAGACACGTCCTTGCTCGTCGAAACTCCACATTCGAACGAGACTGCAAACGCCACTCGATCGTAGTCATTGCCTTCATCATAATGTCCTCACTTGACGTTACTAGCCCCACGTCCACGACTATTGATGCCACGTCGGACTCCTCGACCTTCCTTCTTCTGCTTTGTCCAGCAACGATACACCGCGTTTCCCACATTGCCACAATACGTGCGTTGTTAGGGCTCAAGCTCGGTGCTGAATGCCTTGATTGCATCTTCAGCCTTCACCATAGTCGCTGTTATCGTCCCTTTTTCTCCTTGATGCTTGTCATGTAAATTTGTCAGCACTCTCACCACATCCTGGGTACGAAGCTCGGTGCTGCTCATTTCCATGTTGAGCACCACATTTTCGTAGCTCTTTAAAATACTGAGCAGCAGACAGACTGTAACGTCTTCGTCTTCCATCTTCACACCGATGCCGCTAAGCTCGGTGGAGATGTTGAGGACCTCGTTGCAGTGATGCATGACGTTCGCGCCTTCAGCCATCTTGATGCTGAAAAGTTGTCGCTTGAGGAAGATGCGTCCTGCCCTCTGCGACCCACCGTACAGCGTCTTCAGACGTGTCCACGCAACGTACGCTTCCTCGCAGTTGTCAAGAACATGGTGGTAATCCGCATTTATGTGTAGCAACATCATACCAAACGCTGTAGAACTTTAGACTTCTTGGTCCGAGTGCAAAACGCAAAGTGAATTTATGTTTATAATAGGTACTTAGTTCGCAGCTTTGAATACTACCTCTAAGCCTATTATTCGCAGTGACATCATCCACTGACGTCACCCACTGACGTCATTCCCTGACTTCGCCCTTACTGGTACATACCGGTACCCACCGGTTTATCGAAGCTTGGTCTTCGGCTTGCTTCAACACTTGACGCAGCTTGACGAGGTGTCTTCTTCAAAGCCGCCGTCTTTCCAACACTCCCTCTCGACTCGTTAGCTGCGGCACCTTGGATCTCGAGTCGATCGCGAATGTTTTCAAATTGTACAGCGGCGATCGGCTTGGTCATCATGTCCGCCAGCATATCTTGAGTCGGGCAATACTCCAAAACGACTTCGCCCGATTCCACCTTCTCCCGCACAAAATCGTAGCGTTTGTCGATGTGCTTTGTTCTCTTATGGAACTCCGGGTTCTTGGCGAGAGCGATTGATCCTTGGTTGTCTTCATACATCTTGATCGCTTCGTCGCTTGCCATGTCACCAAGTTCCCTCAACAACACCTTGAGCCATACTGCTTCTTTGGTTGCTTCAGAAAGCGCCATGCATTCTGCTTCCGTTGAAAATAGCGCGACCGTCCGTTGTTTCTGGCTTTTCCAGCTGATGCATCCTCCGTTCATCATGAACACATAGCCGCTTGTACTTCGTCTTGACTCAATGTCGCCGGCCCAGTCTGCGTCGGTGTACCCGCAGATACGGCTTCCTTCTTCACGTGTGAGCTCAAGACCGTGATTGGGCGTTGCTTGCAGGTATCTCAGCACACGCTTCAAAGCTTGCCAGTGAGTCGGGCATGAGTCGGACGAGAACTGGGATAATGATCCCACTGCAGCAGCTAAATCCGGACGTGTGGCGACCATGAGATACATGATGCCTCCGACAGCACTTCAATATGGCACATTGCACATGGTGTCTTCGCACTTGCATTCTTGGTCACACATGTTCTTGGTGAGCTTCAGACCGGGATCTTAAGGTGTCTTCACTGGCTTGCTGTTATCCATTCCGAACTTGGTCAACACGGACTTGAGAAACTTGGTTTGTCGCACAGTCACCATTCCAGTCTTACGGTCGTTCTTGATCTCCGTGCTGAGAAAGTAATTGAGCTCACCGAGATTTGTCATTTTGAAGCGTGTGCTCAGCACCATCTTGGTAGACCTTGAGTAGTTTATTGTTGCTGTTGGCCAGGATGAGATCATCGACGTAGAGCACCACGAGAGTCATGCCTTGGTCGTCTCGCTTGATGTAGATGCAGTGGTCCGATTCGCACTTCTTAAATACCATCTTGATCATGAACCCATCGATCGTTTGGTTCCACATGCGTCGCGATTGCTTCAAGCCGTAGAGCGATCTCTTTAGCTTGCGCACATAGTCCGGCTGTTTTTCATCCAGGTATCCTGCATGTTGGTCCGTGTAGATGTCTTCGTCGAGGGAGCCGTCAAGAAACGCTGTCTTGACGTCCATCTGATGTAGCATTAGGCCGTACCTGGCCGCCATGCTGAGCACCACACGAATTGATGTGAACTTGACCACTGGTGCGAAAGTTTCTTCATAGTCAGCTCCGAATTTCTGTGAGAATCATTTGGCCACGAGTCTTGCCTTGAAACGTTCAACTTCGCCATCTTGATTCTCCTTGACACGAAACACCCACATGCACCCGATGGCTTTGCGACCTTTCGGAAGAGGCACGATCTCCCACGTGTCGTTTCTCTGAAGCGAGTCGAACTCCGAGTCACACGCTTCTTTTTACTTGCCGGAGTCGCTTGATTCTATCGCCGACTTGAATGTAGTCGGCATTTCCCCCACTGAATCAACGAAGTAGGCTGCTTCAAAATCCATCGCAGTCGCTGACACATGCTCAAGCGACGGACCTCTGTACATTCTTCGCTTGGGACTTGGAATGACGGTAGCTTTCTCACGTGATTGGGTGCGCGTGTGTCTCTTGATGTTGCTCTTCGAAGACCTGGTGTCGTCATCGTCGCTCGAGTTCATGTCGACGTCAGTCTTACCTTCTTCTTTTTCTTCGTCGTCGTCTTGATCGTCAAACTCAACGGCACTTGACTCATCGTTGTAGTTGTGCGGACCTTCATCAAACTTGTCTTCCATGAACGTGGCATCGCGACTGATCTTGATCGCTCCTGTTGACACTCTCTCGAACCGATACGACTTCTGGTGTTCAGCGTACCCCAGGAAACGACAGAGTGATGACTTGGAGTCGAACTTCGCGCGTTTGCCTTGAGGCACTTGAACATACGTGTGGCATCCAAACACTTTAAGGTTGGCCATAATCGGTTTCTTCATTGTCAACACTTGATATGGAGACTTGTCTTGGTGGATGGCACGTGTTGGACAGCGGTTTCGAAAAAACATCGCCGTCATCACTGCTTCACCCCAGTAGCTCTTTCCCAGTACAGCATGTTCCACCATACAGCGCGCACACTCGACCAGCGTGCGATTAATTCTCTCAGCTACTCCGTTGAGCTGAGGAGTATATGGGTGTGTGAAACTTTGTTGTATCACCCGTTCCGCGCAGAATCGTGCCAGCTTGTCGGACTTGTAATCACCCCCATTGTCGATTTGAAGGTACTTCGCGCGCTTTCCGGTTTGCGTTTCGACCATCGCAGCGTATTCCATGAACTTCGCTGCAACTTCAGATTTGCTCTTGAGCAGATACACGACACAGTATCTCGACTTGTCGTCGATGAACGTGACGAAATAGCGCTTGCCACTGAAAGTTGCCATCGACATCGGTCCGCATACGTCGCTGTGAATTATTTCGAGCAGTTTGGAAGTGCGAGCTGTAGTGTTCGATTGGAAGCGCATTCAAGTCTGTTTTTTTTCAGAGCACAACCTTCACACACGTCCCACTTCTTCACCGAAGATACGTCGATGCCAATTCCAATGTTCTTCGTCACGACGCAATTGAGTCCATCATGACCTATGTGGCCAAGTCGAAGGTGCCAGAGGTACGGCTTGGTTCCCCCTTGACATCCCGACAGCTTGGCTGCATTTCTTGTTCCGGCGCCACTGGAGTCATTTGCAGCTTGAACAGTCCTTTACCTTCACGGGCACCAATTTTCCACTTGGTCCCTTTCGCTTCTCCATAGCACCCATCCTTTGTGAACGTCACTCGGCCGACATCCTTGGTGAAGCGGCCGACTGAGAACAGGTTTCTGGATAACTTTGGGATGTGCCACACGTTTGTGAGCACACCTTTCTTTATCCCTTGGGGTGTCTTCATCGACATGACAATGTCCCCACTGCCGATTGCTTGGACCAATTTGTTAATAAATATGTTTGACGTTGTGATCATCATCCGCGAGATGGACATCCACAGCGTTAAACACCTTGTCGTTCCGCATGAACTTCTTGGAGCACGTCATGTGCTGCGTCGCCCCGGAGTCGACCAGCAGATGTCGCTTGATTTCGCAAATGTCGTTTCGCCGATCCAGAAGAGGTAGTCGCGTGAGTCTTCTTCTTGAGCGACGTTTGCACGTTGTGATCGATAACGGTCGCCGCTGTCTTGAGCGCGCTGTGGCCTGTGTCTCTCCGTGTTTTCTTGGATGCGCGAGGGGCACTCCGCCATCCAGTGACCAATCTTTCCGCAATTGTGGCACGGCCAGGAATTCTTCACTGGTCGCCCTTTACGCTGACTGTCCCTTGTGATGAACGCTTGACCTTGCGAAGCTTCATCACCTTTACTTCCTTGCTCCTTCCGCTTCATTTCTTCATGAAGCAGTCGAGACGTCACGAGCTCCCAGCTAAGAGTGTCTGAGCGCGACTCCAAAGCTGTGATCAAGAATTGATACGAGTCACTCAGGCTGCCGGGAAGTGTGATCACCAGATCGTCCTCGCAGACCAGAGCCCCCACCGCTTCTAGCGGTTCCGCCAACGTCTTGAGCTTGTTGATGTCCTCGAGCACATCGTCGCCTTCTTCCATCATCGTCGTGAAGAAGCGCCGGTGCAAGAACAGCTTGTTGGCAAGACTCTTCTTCTCGAAGTGGTCTTCCAACCTTGACCATGCGTCGTATGCTCCACTTGCCGACCGGACCAACGGTAGCTGGGAATCTTCCATGGCTAAACAGATCACTGCCATCGCCTTTCTTGACTTCCTCTTGTACGCCGCTTGGTCCAACTGAGTTACGCACTGTTCCGCCTTGATCTCGCCGCTGACGACCTCCCACAGGTCCCGTTTCTCCAGCACCATCTGCACCTTGAACGTCCGGGCGTGGAAGTTAGGTCCATCGAACATGGAGATGCGGAGGGAGGAGGCGTCCATGGCAGCAAGGCTTGCATTGCTGGCGGTTTCAGAGTCTGACGAACTTGGGCTCATAACCTGAAGAACTTTAGACTTCTTGGTCCGAGTGCAAAACGCAAAGTGAATTTATGTTTATAATAGGTACTAAGTTCGCAGCTTTGAATACTACCTCTAAGCCTATTATTCGCAGTGACATCATCCACTGACGTCACCCACTGACGTCATTCCGCTGACGTCATCCAATGACGTCATTCCCTGACTTCGCCCTTACTGGTACATACCGGTACCCACCGGTATATCGAAGCTTGGTCTTTGGCTTGCTTCAACACTTGACGCAGCTTGAAGAGGTGCCTTCTTCACAGCCGCCGCCTTTTTAACAATGCCCGGTCGTGTCGCGGTCGTCAAGTGCATTAAGGCACCCACTGCTTGATGAAACGGAGCGTCGGTCTTGGTCGCTGCGTTACTTGGTGGAGTCGAGGGGTGATGTCGTTGTGCTGATGACAGCTTTGCAATCGCTCATGCCGAACCGCTTCAGAACATCGTCTTTTATGTGTCGTCGCTGGCACATCGTCATGCTGCCTTCATCCTTTCCCGTCTCGATACCCAACACAAAAAAACACTTGCCTCTGTCAGTCATCTCGAAATGCGACTTCAGGTCGTTCTTGGTACGCGTAATCATTTCGGTCGAGCTGCCAGTCACCAACACATCATCGACGTAGACTAGCAAAATACGCACTGTCCGCTTGCTACCTTGAAATAGATGCATGGGTCAAAGCCGGACGCTTGAAAATCTGATAGAGCAGACGAGATAATGGAAAGTTTCTTTCCACACCTGTGAAGCTTGTTCAGTCTGTAGACTACTTTCACCATCTCGAAGCAGTCAAAGTCTTCATTGACTTCTACACCCTCTGGGACCGCGCAAAACACTGGTCCCTTTATTTCACCGTGCAGATAAGCTGTCACCACATCTAGTTGTTCCAGCATCCAGTAAAAGTACTCGTGATCACGATCACCATGCGAAGCGTCACATACTTGACGACTGGCGAGAACGCCTCCGTGAAGTCAATGTCATTTCTTTTCTTGAACCCTTTTGCCACGAGACGCGCCTTGCACTTTTCGATCGATTTATCAGCCTCGCGCTCGATCTTAAACACCCACTTGGTACCAATGGTGTGCTGTCCAGCTGGCAGCTTGGTCCCTTGGAACACGCCACGTAGCTTCATTGAGTCTAACTCGGCGCAAATCGCCTTGCGCCAATGAACTTGATTCGGACCACTACCTGCGTGTTGAAACGTTGTCGGCTCGGACAAGTCAGTAGTTCTGGCTGCATTGGCACTTTCTTGCCAGAAGACTAGAGAAGAGTCATCATCGTCATCTTCATCACCGCCTTTTCGCTCTTCGTCTAGATTGGCGCGAGTTCTTTAGCGCCGTTTCGCTTGATGCGACTCAAAATCATCTGGTGCATTTGCTTCTTCCAACCCGGCTCCACTGCGATTAGGAAGTGTCCGTTGATAGACTTATTCATGGCAGTTTGATCAGCCCTTTCGCTTTCTATTGTTCTTGAACTGCATGGTGTAAAGCTCATCACTGATGTCCATCGCGTCGAAGTCCAGTGTAGTGTCGTCAACAATTTCTTGTCCATCGATTCGATATCCAGCGCAGTGTCGTTAACGATTTCTTGTCCATCGATTCGATATCCAGCGCAGTGTAGTCAACAATTTCTTGTGATAGCGTCGGCGAGAAACCAAACATTGATTTGTCGAATGTGGCATCGCGAGATATCACCACTTGATCCGCTTCAATGTCGTAAACGCGATATGCCTTTGACACTTATTCGTACCCCATGGATAGTCCTTCACAAGCCTTCGGATCTAATTTCGATCTCTTTTCCTTAGGGGTCAGCACAAACGTTCGGCAGCCGAAAACCCGCACGTGCTTCACACTTGGTCGAAATCTGTTGACGATCTCAAACGGGGTTTGATCTTGACACTTGGGCAATGGTAGGCGATTCTTGATGTAGATCGTCGTCATTGCTGCTTCAGCCCAAAAACACTTTCCAGCTTGGCGTAGTGAAGCGTACTGCGCCCGATCGTCACAATGGTCCGAATTGCCCATTCCGCCGTGCCGTTGGTCTGATGCGCATATGGAACGGTAGCTTGCTGCTCGATTCCTTGATCATCGTAGAATGCCTTGAGCGAATTTGCCGCAAATTCGAGTGCACCATCGTGTCGAACAAACTTGACCTTGTAGTTAAACTGTGTCTGTAGTGCCATGATGTACTTCTTGATACACTCTTTGCTGTCGGACTTGGCGCGCAGACTGAAACCCTTCATACATCCGCTGCCTTTATCGACGATCAGAAGCAAGCACTTGCTTCCACCTAGCGAGTCAACTTATATTGGACCACAAGTGTCGATGTGTAGAAGCTCAAACGGATCGTAGTGGCGCTTGTTTGGATTGCCTGGGAACGGTAGTTGAACCATTTTTCCTTCTAAACAACCCTGACACATGCTCGATCCGCTCAATTTTGTTGGCATCTTGGCATTTTTAATTATGCCCTTGGAGACCATTTTGCACAAGACATCAACCGGTGCGTGGCCCATACAAGCATGAAGGTTTTCGACTCTTGGTCCTGAAGCCGCATTCACGGATCGTTGGGATGTACGAAGCCAGTAGAGGCAATCCACAAGATCGGCCATCACCATTACTTGCTTGGAGCCTTTGTGCGAAATCTTCATCTCGTCACCATCATACGCCACTTGGAACTTGTTGCTTTTGTAATTTTGTGGTATCGGAAGCAAGTTCTTGTTCATTCTTGGGACGTAAAGCGCGTTTTTAATTTCGACTTCGCGCTCTTAACCGTTGACAGGATCACATTTTCGACGATTGTCCCGACACCGTTGATCGCAGCCTTGTTCCCATCTGCAAGCAACACTTCACCTTCATTGCGCTCGTCCAGAAATTCGAACTTGGACTTATCATAGCAGATGTGGTGTGTTGCACCGCTGTTAATCGCCCACATTCCAGACATGCTCTTGGTCGTTGAAAGTCCGCATTCTAGCGAACTAGCAAACGCCACTCGATCATAGTCATAGTTGTTGTTGCCGTTGTAGCCTTGCCACTGAACTTGATTCGCTCCGCGTCCACGAGCATTGCAGCCGCGTCGAGCTCCCCGATTGACTTCCTTCTGCTTGGTCTAGCACTTCTCCACTGTGTGCCTTAACTTTCCGCAAAACGTACAATGACGAACCTCGCGCTCGGTACTGAAGGCCTTGGTCGCTTCTTCAGTCTTCACCGATGTCGTCTAGTTTCCTAGTCTCTTGATGGGCTCATTCGTCAGCACCTTTACGACGTCTTGCGTCCGCAGTTCCGCGCCGCTCATCTCCAAGTTCAGCACGACATTCTCGTAGCTCTTGGGGAGACTGCTTCACAAGAAGATCGCTACGTCCTCGTCCTCCGTCTTGGCGCCGATACTGCTGATCTTCGCTCTGATGTTGAGGACTTCATTATATTGATACATGACATTGTCGCCTTCCGCCATCTCCATGCTGAACAGCTGTCGCTTCAAGAAGATCCGTCCCGCCTTCTGCGATCCGCCGTAAAAGGTCTTCAACCGTGTCCATGCAACCCGTGCCTCCTCGCTGTCATCAACCACGTGATGATAGTCCGCGCTCACGTGAAGTAACATCAAGCCGAACACAATGTTGTTGGTCTTGATGAACTCATCACTGGCGCGAGGATCGGCGAAGGTGGGGGTGGTCTCCTGGTTGACCACGTGCCACGTCGACTTGGTCAGGAACACGCCACGCATGTAGCGGCAACACGTCGCGTAGCTGTCTCCATCAAATCTATCAAAAGAGATCTTGGTCGTGGCATCATGAGCAGAGGACATCGTGCTTGGGCTCATAACCTGTTAAGATGTAACGAGCACTGGTCGAGAGAACGAAGCTTGAAGAACTTGAAAGAAGTCTACACTGCGAAGTGAAGACGACTTGTGTAGGAGAAGGATTATTTGGAAGTGAATTTATTTGTGGGCTTTGTTAAAGCTATTGGACTTATCCCTGCACTGATTTATATGATGTCCACATATAAATCATGGATCACAAATCATGTAGGTCACCCAATTATCCTATGCGTCTAATCGTTGGTAAAGACTCACTGTAATTACGCGCATTCACTTGGACAGATAACGGTTTCCACGGTAGCTAATAAAAGTACTTCAAACGTTAACCCACATAGATCCAAATCTTTCGTTTTGCTTTGCCATTAGTCTAGTGCGCATATGGAACGGTGACCTGCTGCTCGATTCCTTGATAATTGTAGTATGCCTTGAGCAAAGTTGTCGCAAACTCACGTGCACCATTGTGCCGAGCATATTTAGCCGTGCAGTCAAACTGCATCTGGACCGCCACGATATACTTCTTGAAGCATGTTTCACTGTCGAACTTGGCGCGCAGAATGAAGCCCTTCATGCATCCACTGCCTTCATCTACTATCAGCAGCAATTACTTGGCTCCAACTAATGAGTCGGCTTCCATCGGGTCACACGTGTCGATGGGCAGAATCTCAAACGGATCATAGTGACGCTTGTTCGGGATGCTTGGAAACGGTCGCTGCACCATTTCTTCTTCTTGACAACCACGACGCACGCTTCATTCGCTTAATCTTGGTGGTATCTTGACATCCTTGATCATGTTCTTGAAAACCATCTTGTATAGGACCTCAGTTGGTGTGTGTCCCATACGCGCATGATGATCTTTGTCTCTTGATCGCAATGTAGCATTCCCGGATTTTTGCAGTGTACAAATCCAGTCGACCCCGTCTACAAATTCTACCATTGCCATCACTTGCTCGAAGTCTTTGTGTAAAATCTTCATCTCGGCACCATGGAACATCACTTGAACATTGCAGCTCTTATTAATTTACGGAATTGACAGCAGATTTTTTGCTCATTCTTGGGACGTAAAGCGCGTTCTTGATCTCGCGCTCTTCACCGTTTTGCGGTACCTTGCCTTGTTCCCATCTACGACCAACGCTTCGCCTTCATTGTGCTCGTCCGGAAATTTGAACTTGATTTTGTCATGGCAGATGTGATGCGTCGCACCGCTGCTATTCGCCCACATCTCAGACGTATTGTTGATCGCTGAAATTACGCATTCCAGAGAAACAGCAAACACTACTCGATCGTAGTCGTCGTTGTTGTTGCTGTTGTATCCTTGCCACTGGACTTGATTTGCTCAGCGTCCAGGAGCATTGCTATCGCGTTGAGCTCCCCGACTCTCTTCCTTCTGCTTGGTCCAACAACGTTCCACTTTTCCCCAATTTCCGCAGAACGAGCATCGACGAACCTCGCGCTCGGTACTGAAGGCCTTGGTCACTTCTTCAGTCTTCACCGCCGCAGGCTTGGCACCTTGACGCTTGATGTGATTAATCGTCAAAACGTTGATAGCGTCGCGCGGTTGCAGTTTGCGCTGCTCGTCTACAAGTTGAGAACGACGTTCTCGTAGCTCTTGGGGAGACTGCTTCACAAGAATATAGCTACGTCCTCGTCCTCCATCTTGGCGCCGATGCTGCTGAGCTTCGCTCTGATGTTGAGGACTTCATTACAATGATGCATGGCATTGCCGCTTTCCACTGTCTCCATGCTAAGCAGCTGTCGCTTCAAGAAGGTCCATGAACCGCCTTCTGCGACCTACTATGCAGTGTCTTCAAACGCGCCCACGCGATCCATGCTATTTCGCTTTCATCAACCACATGATGAAAGTCGGCGTCGATGTGCAGTAACATCAGTCCGTGCGAACTGTTTTTCGTTTTGATATAATCGTGACTGTCGCGAGTATTCGACAAGGTTGGCGTCGTCTCTCGGTTGACCACATTCCACGTCGACTTGGTCTGGGACACGCCACACATGTAGCGGCTCCACGTCGCGAACTTGTCCTCATCAAATTTGTCGATGAAGATCCTGGTAATTGAACCTTGTGCAGAGGACATCTTGCTTGGGCACATAACCTAATAAAGTCTGACGAGCGCTGGGCGAGGATACAAAGCTTGAAGAAAGCTAAAGAAGTCTGCACCATAAAGTAAAGACGACTTGTACTGTAGGAGGAATGTTTAGAAGTGATTGATTTATAGGTATCAACTCTGCCTACGCTTGACTGCATCCAATCCCATGGTGCATATAATCAGCCTGATTTACACGCGTCCAATCATCCTACGCGTCTAGCCAACTCTGAAGTAATCACCAAAGAAAAAACTATTCCGTATACACTACGCTCGAAGATCGGATCGTACCAGTAACCTTCAATGCGCACCCTCAATGCGCACTCTCAATTCAAGCATGCGTGAATGTCGAGAGCCAAAATTAAAGTTTTAAAAACTTTAATTTTACTTAAAAAGCAAATAAAATTAAAAAAGCCATCATTAAACAAAATAAAGCAATTGCTTCTGTTAAAGCAAAACCTAAAATTGCAGTTCTCATTGTATTTGTGGCGTGGTCCTAGAAGTCTATTCGTCATGCTGTCCGCCAATATATTCGTCTTCTCACAAGATTCCAGCTTCACTTCCCCGCGCTTAACCTCATTACGGATGTAATGGTACTTGATTTTGATGTGCTTGGCTTGACCATGGTTCACCGGATTCGTCGTCATCTCGATGCAGAGCTGGTTGTCTTCCGTAATCTTGAGCTCGGACCCGGAATTGTCCACTGCGGCATCCAGAATTTTGCGCAGCAAGCGATGCACCCACTTACTTTCTTGAATGGCCAGACTTAGAGCGATGTACTCGGCTTCACTTGTTGACAATTACACACTTGGTTGCTTCTTGCTGCCCCAGCTCACCGGAGCACACATGGTCATGAATGCGTCTCTCTATGTAGACACGCGATCCACACGGTTGCCGGCCCAGTCTGCATCCGAGTAGCCGTAGAAATCCACCTTGCCGCCGAGTTTGGAGCAGATGCCGTGCGATTTAAATCCATGCAAGTATCGCACAATACGCTTGACAGCCATTCAGTGCTCGACTTGCGGTTTCTCCATGAAGCGTGAAACATAGCTCACAGTAAAGGCAATGACTGGTCGTGTCGCGGTCGTTAAGTGCATTAAGGAACCCACTGCTTGATGAAACGGAGCGTCGGTCTTGGTCGCTGCGTTACTTGGTGTAGTCGAGGAGTGATGTCGTTGGGCTGATGACAGCTTTGCAATCGCTCATGCCGCTTCAAAACATCGTCTTTTACGTGTCGTCGCTGGCACATCGTCATGCTGACTTCATCCTTTACCATCCCGATACCCAACACAAAAGAACACTTGCCTCTGTCAGTCATCTCGAAATGCGACTTCAGGTCGTTCTTGGTACGCGCAATCATTTCGGTCGAGCTGCCAGTCACCAACACATCATCGACGTAGACCAGCAAAATACGCACTGTCCGCTTGCTACCTTGAAATAGATGCATGGGTCAAAGCCGGACGCTTGAAAATCTGATAGAGCAGACGAGATAATGGAAAGTTTCTTTCCACACCCGTGAAGCTTGTTCAGTCTGTAGATTGCTTTCGCCATCTCGAAGCAGTCAAAGTCTTCATTGACTTCTACACCCTCTGGGACCGCGCAAAACACTGGTCCCTTTATTTCACCATGCATATAAGCTATCACCACATCTAGTTGTTCCAGCATCCAGTAAAAGTACTCGTGATCACGATCACCATGCGAAGCGTCACATACTTGACGACTGGCGAGAACGCCTCCGTGAAGTCAATGTCATTTCTTGTCTTGAACCCTTTTGCCACGAGACGCGCCTTGCACTTTTTGATCGATTCATCAGCCTAGCGCTTGATCTTAAACACCCACTTGGTACCAATGGTGTGCTGTCCAGCTGGCAGCTTGGTCCCTTGGAACACGCCACGTAGCTTCATTGAGTCCAACTCGGCGCAAATCGCATTACGCCAATGAACTTGATCCGGACCACTACCTGCGTGTTGAAACGTTGTCGGCTCGGACAAGTCAGTAGTTCTGGCTGCATTGGCACTTTCTTGCCAGAAGACTAGCGAAGAGTCATCATCGTCATCTTCATCACCGCCTTTTCGCTCTTCGTCTAGATTGGCGCGAGTTCTTTAGCGCCGTTTCGCTTGATGCGACTCAAAATCATCTGGTGCATTTGCTTCTTCCAACCCGGCCCACTGCAATTAAGGAGTGTCTGTTGATAGACTTATTCATGAAAGTTTGAACAGCTCTTTCACTTTCTTGTTGACGGTCATCGGTTTTCTACTAGTATCGTATCCGTGACCGGTCCAATCCAAATCGCCTGCTCCGCTTAGTATTTACGACGTAGTTCTTACGGTAATTAACATAGTTGATTAGAAGCGTAGGATGATGAGACGCTTCACGTTATTGATGTGTATATAAATTCTAAATCATGTAGTAAGTAGTAAGCCCCGTTAATCTATCACTTTCGAATCTTCCAACAAGTGAGAAAGTGTCTTCTGCTCTACTCTCTTCAGCCTCTCCGCTCCCCTCACTCCACTCTCTGCAATGCAACAGGTTATGAGCCCAAGCGCCATGTCGTCCATCTCCAACGCATCATCCAGCGCCTCCATTGATAAGCTCAATGGATACAACCACGCGACTTGGAGTCGATACATGCGCGGTGTGTTTTTGCCATCTGGTACGTCGTGAACGGTGGAACGACTTCGACTATCATTAACCCGCGAGCATCCGATGAGTACTTCAAGGCTAGCAGCGTCGCGTTTGCTGGAAAGACGGCGGCTGTGAAGAAGGCACCTCTTCAAGCTGCGTCAAGTGTTGAAGCAAGCCAAAGACCAAGCTTCGATATACCGGTGGGTACCGGTATGTACCAGTAAGGGCGAAGTCAGGGAATGACGTCATTGGATGACGTCAGCGGAATGACGTCAGTGGGTGACGTCAGTGGATGATGTCACTGCGAATAATAGGCTTAGAGGTAGTATTCAAAGCTGCGAACTTAGTACCTATTATAAACATAAATTCACTTTGCGTTTTGCACTCGGACCAAGAAGTCTAAAGTTCTTCAGGTTATGAGCCCAAGTTCGTCAGACTCTGAAACCGCCAGCAATGCAAGCCTTGCTGCCATGGACGCCTCCTCCCTCCGCATCTCCATGTTCGATGGACCTAACTTCCACGCCCGGACGTTCAAGGTGCAGATGGTGCTGGAGAAACGGGACCTGTGGGGAGGTCGTCAGCGGCGAGATCAAGGCGGAACAGTGCGTAACTCAGTTGGACCAAGCGGCGTACAAGAGGAAGTCAAGAAAGGCGATGGCAGTGATCTGTTTAGCCATGGAAGATTCCCAGCTACCGTTGGTCCGGTCGGCAAGTGGAGCATACGACGCATGGTCAAGGTTGGAAGACCACTTCGAGAAGAAGAGTCTTGCCAACAAGCTGTTCTTGCACCGGCGCTTCTTCACGACGATGATGGAAGAAGGCGACGATGTGCTCGAGGACATCAACAAGCTCAAGACGTTGGCGGAACCGCTAGAAGCGGTGGGGGCTCTGGTCTGCGAGGACGATCTGGTGATCACACTTCCCGGCAGCCTGAGTGACTCGTATCAATTCTTGATCACAGCTTTGGAGTCGCGCTCAGACACTCTTAGCTGGGAGCTCGTGACGTCTCGACTGCTTCATGAAGAAATGAAGCGGAAGGAGCAAGGAAGTAAAGGTGATGAAGCTTCGCAAGGTCAAGCGTTCATCACAAGGGACAGTCAGCGTAAAGGGCGACCAGTGAAGAATTCCTGGCCGTGCCACAATTGCGGAAAGATTGGTCACTGGATGGCGGAGTGCCCCTCGCGCATCCAAGAAAACACGGAGAGACACAGGCCACAGCGCGCTCAAGACAGCGGCGACCGTTATCGATCACAACGTGCAAACGTCGCTCAAGAAGAAGACTCACGCGACTACCTCTTCTGGATCGGCGAAACGACATTTGCGAAATCAAGCGACATCTGCTGGTCGACTCCGGGGCGACGCAGCACATGACGTGCTCCAAGAAGTTCATGCGGAACGACAAGGTGTTTAACGCTGTGGATGTCCATCTCGCGGATGATGATCACAACGTCAAACATATTTATTAACAAATTGGTCCAAGCAATCGGCAGTGGGGACATTGTCATGTCGATGAAGACACCCCAAGGGATAAAGAAAGGTGTGCTCACAAACGTGTGGCACATCCCAAAGTTATCCAGAAACCTGTTCTCAGTCGGCCGCTTCACCAAGGATGTCGGCCGAGTGACGTTCACAAAGGATGGGTGCTATGGAGAAGCGAAAGGGACCAAGTGGAAAATTGGTGCCCGTGAAGGTAAAGGACTGTTCAAGCTGCAAATGACTCCAGTGGCGCCGGAACAAGAAATGCAGCCAAGCTGTCGGGATGTCAAGGGGGAACCAAGCCGTACCTCTGGCACCTTCGGCTTGGCCACATAGGTCATGATGGACTCAATTGCGTCGTGACGAAGAACATTGGAATTGGCATCGACGTATCTTCGGTGAAGAAGTGGGACGTGTGTGAAGGTTGTGCTCTGAAAAAAAACAGACTTGAATGCGCTTCCAATCGAACACTACAGCTCGCACTTCCAAACTGCTCGAAATGATTCACAGCGATGTATGCGGCCCGATGCAGACGTCGACTTTCAGTGGCAAGCGCTATTTCGTCACGTTCATCGACGACAAGTCGAGATACTGTGTCGTGTATCTGCTCAAGAGCAAATCTGAAGTTGCAGCGAAGTTCATGGAATACGCTGCGATGGTCGAAACGCAAACCGGAAAGCGCGCGAAGTACCTTCAAATCGACAATGGGGGTGATTACAAGTCCGACAAGCTGGCACGATTCTGCGCGGAACGGGTGATACAACAAAGTTTCACACACCCATATACTCCTCAGCTCAACGGAGTAGCTGAGAGAATTAATCGCACGCTGGTCGAGTGTGCGCGCTGTATGGTGGAACATGCTGTACTGGGGAAAGAGCTACTGGGGTGAAGCAGTGATGACGGCGATGTTTTTTCGAAACCGCTGTCCAACACGTGCCATCCACCAAGACAAGTCTCCATATCAAGTGTTGACAATGAAGAAACCGATTATGGCCAACCTTAAAGTGTTTGGATGCCACACGTATGTTCAAGTGCCTCAAGGCAAACGCGCGAAGTTCGACTCCAAGTCATCACTCTGTCGTTTCCTGGGGTACGCTGAACACCAGAAGTCGTATCGGTTCGAGAGAGTGTCAACAGGAGCGATCAAGATCAGTCGTGATGCCACGTTCATGGAAGACAAGTTTGATGAAGGTCCGCACAACTACAACGATGAGTCAAGTGCCGTTAAGTTTGACGATCAAGACGACGACGAAGAAAAAGAAGAAGGTAAGACTGACGTCGAAATGAACTAGAGCGACGATGAAGACATTAGGTCTTCGAATAGCAACATCAAGAGACACACGCGCACTCAATCACGTGAGAAAGCTACCGTAATCCCAAGTCCCAAGCGAAGAATGTACAGGGGTCGCTTGAGCATGTGTCAGCGGCTGCAATGGATTTTGAAGCAGCCTACTTCGTTGATTCAGTGGGGGAGATGCCGACTACATTCAAGTCGGTGATAGAATCAAGCGACTCCGGCAAGTGGAAAGAAGCGTGTGACTCGGAGTTCGACTCGCTTCAGAGAAACGACACGTAGGAGATCGTGCCTCTTCCGAAAGGTCGCAAAGCCATCGGGTGCCTGTGGGTGTTTCGTGTCAAGGAGAATCAAGATGGAGAAGTTGAACGTTTCAAGGCAAGACTCGTGGCCAAATGATTCTCACAGAAATTCGGAGTTGACTATGAAGAAACTTTCGCACCAGTGGCCAAGTTCACATCGATTCGTGTGGTGCTCAGCATGGCGGCCAAGTACGGCCTAATGCTACATCAGATGGATGTCAAGACAGCGTTTCTTGACGGCTCCCTCGACGAAGACATCTACACGGACCAACATGCAGGATACCTGGATGCAAAACAGCCGGACTTTGTGTGCAAGCTAAAGAGATCGCTCTACGGCTTGAAGCAATCGCGACGCATGTGGAACCAAACGATCGATGGGTTCATGATCAAGATGGTATTTAAGAAGTGCGAATCGGACCACTGCATCTACATCAAGCGAGACGACCAAGGCATGACTCTCGTGGTGCTCTACGTCGATGATCTCATCCTGGCCAACAGCAACAATAAACTACTCAAGGTCTACCAAGATGGCGCTGAGCACACGCTTCAAAATGACAAATCTCGGTGAGCTCAATTACTTTCTCAGCATGGAGATCAAGAACGACCGTAAGACTGGAATGGTGACTGTGCGACAAACCAAGTTTCTCAAGTCCGTGTTGACCAAGTTCGGAATGGATAACAGCAAGCCAGTGAAGACGCCTCAAGATCCCGGTCTGAAGCTCACCAAGAACATGTGTGACCAAGAATGCAAGTGCGAAGACACCATGTGCAATGTGCCATATTGAAGTGCTGTCGGAGGCATCATGTATCTCATGGTCGCCACACGTCCGGATTTAGCTGCTGCAGTGGGATCATTATCCCAGTTCTCGTCCGACTCATGCCCGACTCACTGGCAAGCTTTGAAGCGTGTGCTGAGATACCTGCAAGCAACGCCCAATCACGGTCTTGAGCTCACACGTGAAGAAGGAAGCCGTATCTGCGGGTACACCGACGCAGACTGGGCCGGCGACATTGAGTCAAGACGAAGTACAAGTGGCTATGTGTTCACGATGAACGGAGGATACATCAGCTGGAAAAGCCAGAAACAACGGACGGTCGTGCTATTTTCAACGGAAGCAGAATACATTGCGCTTTCTAAAGCAACAAAGAAGCAGTATGGCTCAAGGTGTTGTTGAGGAAACTTGGTGAGATGGCAAGCGACGAAGCGATCAAGATGTATGAAGACAACCAAGGATCAATCGCTCTCGCCAAGAACCCGGAGTTCCATAAGAGAACAAAGCACATCGACAAACGCTACGATTTTGTGCGGGAGAAGGTGGAATCGGGCGAAGTCATTTTGGAGTATTGCCCGACTCAAGATATGCTGGCGGACATGATGACCAAGCCGATCGCCGCTGTACAATTTGAAAACATTCGCGATCGACTTGGGATCCAAGGTGTCGCAGCTAACGAGTCGAGAGGGGGTGTTGGAAAGTTGGCGGCTTTGAAGAAGACACCTCGTCAAGCTGCGTCAAGTGTTGAAGCAAGCCGAAGACCAAGCTTCGATAAACCGGTGGGTACCGGTATGTACCAGTAAGGGCGAAGTCAGGGAATGACGTCATTGGATGACGTCAGCGGAATGACGTCAGTGGGTGACGTCAGTGGATGATGTCACTGCGAATAATAGGCTTAGAGGTAGTATTCAAAGCTGCGAACTTAGTACCTATTATAAACATAAATTCACTTTGCGTTTTGCACTCGGACCAAGAAGTCTAAAGTTCTTCAGATTATGAGCCCAAGTTCGTCAGACTCTGAAACCGTCAGCAATGCAAGCCTTGCTGCCATGGACGCCTCCTCCCTCCGCATCTCCATGTTCGATGGACCTAACTTCCACGCCCGGACGTTCAAGGTGCAGATGGTGCTGGAGAAACGGGACCTGTGGGAGGTCGTCAGCGGCGAGATCAAGGCGGAACAGTGCGTAACTCAGTTGGACCAAGCGGCGTACAAGAGGAAGTCAAGAAAGGCGATGGCAGTGATCTGTTTAGCCATGGAAGATTCCCAGCTACCGTTGGTCCGGTCGGCAAGTGGAGCATACGACGCATGGTCAAGGTTGGAAGACCACTTCGAGAAGAAGAGTCTTGCCAACAAGCTGTTCTTGCACCGGCGCTTCTTCACGACGATGATGGAAGAAGACGACGATGTGCTCGAGGACATCAACAAGCTCAAGACGTTGGCGGAACCGCTAGAAGCGGTGGGGGCTCTGGTCTGCGAGGACGATCTGGTGATCACACTTCCCGGCAGCCTGAGTGACTCGTATCAATTCTTGATCACAGATTTGGAGTCGCGCTCAGACACTCTTAGCTGGGAGCTCGTGACGTCTCGACTGCTTCATGAAGAAATGAAGCGAAAGGAGAAAGGAAGTAAAGGTGATGAAGCTTTGCAAGGTCAAGTGGTCATCACAAGGGAGAGTCAGCGTAAAGGGCGACCAGTGAAGAATTCCTGGCCGTGCCACAATTGCGGAAAGATTGGTCACTGGATGGCGGAGTGCCCCTCGCGCATCCAAGAAAACATGGAGAGACACAGGCCACAGCGCGCTCAAGACAGCGGCGACCGTTATCGATCACAACGTGCAAACGTCGCTCAAGAAGAAGACTCGCGCGACTACCTCTTCTGGATCGGCGAAACGACATTTGCGAAATCAAGCGACATCTGCTGGTCGACTCCGGGGCGACGCAGCACATGACGTGCTCCAAGAAGTTCATGCGGAACGACAAGGTGTTTAACGCTGTGGATGTCCATCTCGCGGATGATGATCACAACGTCAAACATATTTATTAACAAATTGGTCCAAGCAATCGGCAGTGGGGACATTGTCATGTCGATGAAGACACCCCAAGGGATAAAGAAAGGTGTGCTCACAAACGTGTGGCACATCCCAAAGTTATCCAGAAACCTGTTCTCAGTCGGCCGCTTCACCAAGGATGTCGGCCGAGTGACGTTCACAAAGGATGGGTGCTATGGAGAAGCGAAAGGGACCAAGTGGAAAATTGGTGCCCGTGAAGGTAAAGGACTGTTCAAGCTGCAAATGACTCCAGTGGCGCCGGAACAAGAAATGCAGCCAAGTCGTCGGGATGTCAAGGGGGAACCAAGCCGTACCTCTGGCACCTTCGGCTTGGCCACATAGGTCATGATGGACTCAATTGCGTCGTGACGAAGAACATTGGAATTGGCATCGACGTATCTTCGGTGAAGAAGTGGGACGTGTGTGAAGGTTGTGCTCTGAAAAAAAACAGACTTGAATGCGCTTCCAATCGAACGCTACAGCTCGCACTTCCAAACTGCTCGAAATAATTCACAGCGACGTATGCGGACCGATGTCGATGGCAACTTTCAGTGGAAAGCGGTACTTCGTGACATTCATCGACGACAAGTCGAGATACTGTGTCGTGTATCTGCTCAAGAGCAAATCTGAAGTTGCAGCGAAGTTCATGGAATACGCTGCGATGGTCGAAACGCAAACCGGAAAGCGCGCGAAGTACCTTCAAATCGACAATGGGGGTGATTACAAGTCCGACAAGCTGGCACGATTCTGCGCGGAACGGGTGATACAACAAAGTTTCACACACCCATATACTCCTCAGCTCAACGGAGTAGCTGAGAGAATTAATCGCACGCTGGTCGAGTGTGCGCGCTGTATGGTGGAACATGCTGTACTGGGAAAGAGCTACTGGGGTGAAGCAGTGATGACGGCGATGTTTTTCGAAACCGCTGTCCAACACGTGCCATCCACCAAGACAAGTCTCCATATCAAGTGTTGACAATGAAGAAACCGATTATGGCCAACCTTAAAGTGTTTGGATGCCACACGTATGTTCAAGTGCCTCAAGGCAAACGCGCGAAGTTCGACTCCAAGTCATCACTCTGTCGTTTCCTGGGGTACGCTGAACACCAGAAGTCGTATCGGTTCGAGAGAGGTGTCAACAGGAGCGATCAAGATCAGTCGTGATGCCACGTTCATGGAAGACAAGTTTGATGAAGGTCCGCACAACTACAACGATGAGTCAAGTGCCGTTAAGTTTGACGATCAAGACGACGACGAAGAAAAAGAAGAAGGTAAGACTGACGTCGAAATGAACTCGAGCGACGATGAAGACATTAGGTCTTCGAATAGCAACATCAAGAGACACACGCGCACTCAATCACGTGAGAAAGCTACCGTAATCCCAAGTCCCAAGCGAAGAATGTACAGGGGTCGCTTGAGCATGTGTCAGCGGCTGCAATGGATTTTGAAGCAGCCTACTTCGTTGATTCAGTGGGGGAGATGCCGACTACATTCAAGTCGGTGATAGAATCAAGCGACTCCGGCAAGTGGAAAGAAGCGTGTGACTCGGAGTTCGACTCGCTTCAGAGAAACGACACGTAGGAGATCGTGCCTCTTCCGAAAGGTCGCAAAGCCATCGGGTGCCTGTGGGTGTTTCGTGTCAAGGAGAATCAAGATGGAGAAGTTGAACGTTTCAAGGCAAGACTCGTGGCCAAATGATTCTCACAGAAATTCGGAGTTGACTATGAAGAAACTTTCGCACCAGTGGCCAAGTTCACATCGATTCGTGTGGTGCTCAGCATGGCGGCCAAGTACGGCCTAATGCTACATCAGATGGATGTCAAGACAGCGTTTCTTGACGGCTCCCTCGACGAAGACATCTACACGGACCAACATGCAGGATACCTGGATGCAAAACAGCCGGACTTTGTGTGCAAGCTAAAGAGATCGCTCTACGGCTTGAAGCAATCGCGACGCATGTGGAACCAAACGATCGATGGGTTCATGATCAAGATGGTATTTAAGAAGTGCGAATCGGACCACTGCATCTACATCAAGCGAGACGACCAAGGCATGACTCTCGTGGTGCTCTACGTCGATGATCTCATCCTGGCCAACAGCAACAATAAACTACTCAAGGTCTACCAAGATGGCGCTGAGCACACGCTTCAAAATGACAAATCTCGGTGAGCTCAATTACTTTCTCAGCATGGAGATCAAGAACGACCGTAAGACTGGAATGGTGACTGTGCGACAAACCAAGTTTCTCAAGTCCGTGTTGACCAAGTTCGGAATGGATAACAGCAAGCCAGTGAAGACGCCTCAAGATCCCGGTCTGAAGCTCACCAAGAACATGTGTGACCAAGAATGCAAGTGCGAAGACACCATGTGCAATGTGCCATATTGAAGTGCTGTCGGAGGCATCATGTATCTCATGGTCGCCACACGTCCGGATTTAGCTGCTGCAGTGGGATCATTATCCCAGTTCTCGTCCGACTCATGCCCGACTCACTGGCAAGCTTTGAAGCGTGTGCTGAGATACCTGCAAGCAACGCCCAATCACGGTCTTGAGCTCACACGTGAAGAAGGAAGCCGTATCTGCGGGTACACCGACGCAGACTGGGCCGGCGACATTGAGTCAAGACGAAGTACAAGTGGCTATGTGTTCACGATGAACGGAGGATACATCAGCTGGAAAAGCCAGAAACAACGGACGGTCGTGCTATTTTCAACGGAAGCAGAATACATTGCGCTTTCTAAAGCAACAAAGAAGCAGTATGGCTCAAGGTGTTGTTGAGGAAACTTGGTGAGATGGCAAGCGACGAAGCGATCAAGATGTATGAAGACAACCAAGGATCAATCGCTCTCGCCAAGAACCCGGAGTTCCATAAGAGAACAAAGCACATCGACAAACGCTACGATTTTGTGCGGGAGAAGGTGGAATCGGGCGAAGTCATTTTGGAGTATTGCCCGACTCAAGATATGCTGGCGGACATGATGACCAAGCCGATCGCCGCTGTACAATTTGAAAACATTCGCGATCGACTTGGGATCCAAGGTGCCGCAGCTAACGAGTCGAGAGGGGGTGTTGGAAAGTTGGCGGCTTTGAAGAAGACACCTCGTCAAGCTGCGTCAAGTGTTGAAGCAAGCCGAAGACCAAGCTTCGATAAACCGGTGGGTACCGGTATGTACCAGTAAGGGCGAAGTCAGGGAATGACGTCATTTGGATGACGTCAGCGGAATGACGTCAGTGGGTGACGTCAGTGGATGATGTCACTGCGAATAATAGGCTTAGAGGTAGTATTCAAAGCTGCGAACTAAGTACCTATTATAAACATAAATTCACTTTGCGTTTTGCACTCGGACCAAGAAGTCTAAAGTTCTACAGCGTTTGGTATGATGTTGCTACACATAAATGCGGATTACCACCATGTTCTTGACAACTGCGAGGAAGCGTACGTTGCGTGGACACGTCTGAAGACGCTGTACGGTGGGTCGCAGAGGGCAGGACGCATCTTCCTCAAGCGACAACTTTTCAGCATCAAGATGGCTGAAGGCGCGAACGTCATGCATCACTGCAACGAGGTCCTCAACATCTCCACCGAGCTTAGCGGCATCGGTGTGAAGATAGAAGACGAAGACGTTGCAGTCTGTCTGCTGCTCAGTCTTCCGAAGAGCTACGAAAATGTGGTGCTCAACATGGAAATGAGCAGCACCGAGCTTCGTACCCAGGATGTGGTGAGAGTGCTGACAAATTTACATGACAAGCATCAAGGAGAAAAAGGGACGGTAACAGCGACTATGGTGAAGGCTGAAGATGCAATCAAGGCATTCAGCACCGAGCTTGAGCCCTAACAACGCACGTATAGTGGCAATGTGGGAAACGCGGTGTATCGTTGCTGGACAAAGCAGAAGAAGGAAGGTCGAGGAGTCCGACGTGGCATCAATAGTCGTGGACGTGGGGCTAGTAACGTCAAGTGAGGACATTATGATGAAGGCAATGACTACGATCGAGTGGCGTTTGCAGTCTCGTTCGAATGTGGAGTTTCGACGAGCAAGGACGTGTCTGGAATGTGGGCTATCGACAGTGGTGCAACGCACCACATCTGCCACAAGTTTGCAAGTTTGGCAGAGCGCAAAGGGGTCAAACTATTGGTGGCTGATGGCAACAAGGTGTCCGTAAAGGATGTGGGAACTATCATGGAAAAAGTGGTTATGCTCAACGGTGAAGAGGGCGAGACCGAGATCAAGAACGCGTTACATGTTTCAAGTATGAGCAAGAACCTGCTTTCGGTGCCGCAGATCAACGGGCATGGCAAGTTCCAAGTTGTGTTTGACGGTTCCAAGTTGTATGTAACTATCAAGAACTCGCAGCAAGTGGTGGCGACAGCGGATCTCGTGGATAGACTATACTGGCTTCGTACGACTCAGCGATCAGCAAATGTGACAACAAGTGGATACAGTTGTGCTGATCTACATGCGCGAATGGGTCACGCTCCAGTCGACGTACTTCGCAAGATGATCACGACCATAATGATCAAGGATATGCGAGTCCCTCTCAAGTCGAGTGGAGCAACTGCATGTCGAGGGTGTCAACAAGGGAAAATGGTCCAAAAACCATTCCCAAGCAAACGCGACAAGCGTAATTACGACATGGTACAAGCTGCTTCATCTGGCCGTCTGTGGGCCCATGGAAAACAAATCGCTCGGTGGCAGCAGACATCTGCTACTAATCGTAGATGAAGCCAGTGGATGTATGAAGGGCTTTTGTTTACGAGTGAAGTCCGAGAGTAAAGACTACATCCGGAATTACACCACCATGGTACAGACGCAGTTCAGTAAGAAGGTCAAGTTTGTGGGACATGAGGGATCCCGCGAGTTTGCAACCAACTCGCTTCAAGTGTTCTACGAAGATGAAGGCATTGAACAGTAGACAGCGGTGCCACATGCACGTCGAACCAACGAAACAGCAGAGTGTGCCATTAGGACTATCGTCACAATTGGTCGCATCATGCCAAACTGGACGAGTGTTTCTGGGCTGAAGCAGCGATGACGGCCATCTACGTCAAGAATCGACTGCCTTCACCTAAAGTCGTACGAAAGACCCCGTATAAGATCGTCTACAACTCGGAACCAAGCGTCAAGCACATGCGAGCATTCGGTTGTCAGACGTACATGCTGACGCCAAAAGAGACTCGATTCAAGTGGGATCCAAAGGCTCGCGCTGGCATATTCGTGGGCTACGAAGAAGCGTCGAAGGCGTATCAAGTTTATGACATCGAGGCGTGGCAGGTGGTTATCAGTCGCGATGTCAACTTCGATGAGTCCACCTTTGGAATTTTGCCACCGGTTACTGATGAAGATGGATGACCTGGACTTCAAATTGCTTGACCCCAATGATAAAGAGCCGTGTCAGGTGGAGTACAAACAAACAGTCAAGCGCAAAAACCGCCTCATCAATGAAGATACAGCAGCTCCACGACCGCGTGCAGTGCGTCAACGACCTGGACTAGAAGAGTCAAGCGCGCCGGAAAGCAACTCGTCACCCAAGAAGAAGACGAAGAAACAAAGGATTCTGATGAATCAACTCCGCCTGTTTTTTGGCGTGCGAGTGCAAATGCCGTCGGAACAGCAGCGGTTTTATCGGATTCCTCAACATTTGAGGCGGCAGTGAGCGGCCCTGACCACGTGCACTGGCGAAAAGCTTTCATGCAGAGCCCGAGTTCAAATGCGACTTCGCGGTGTGTTTCGTGCAGCCAAGCTGCCCAACGGACAACGCGCCATTGGCACAAAGTAGGTGTTTAAGATCAAGCGCAAGGTGGATAGGTCAATCGAGAAGTACAAGGCACGACTTGTGGCCAAGGGTTTCCGCCAAAGTATGGCATCGACTACACGGATACAATTTTGCCCGTGGTCATGTATGTGACACTGCGAATGTTGATCGCAATTTCCAAGCACTTTGGATGGCCCATCGACCAGTTTGATGTGTTGACGGCTTTCCTGTATGGCGTCATGGAGAAACAAGTGTTCTATGTGATTCCTGAAGGCGTTAAACTTGTTAGTACGTTTGACTGTCTGGAATTGGTGAAGTCAATTTACGGCCTCAAGAAAGCGTCGCGAGTGTGGAATGAAACGTTCGACGAGTTTGTGTGCTCCATTGGATTTCAAGTATCGGACTTCGACCCATGTCTCTACATCAAGACTTCGGACGACCATTGTGTGTATGTACTGGTCTACGTGGACGACGTTTTGGTGACTGGAAGCTCGCTCGAGCTAATTGCACGAGCCAAGAACGACTTGTAGACACGCTTCGAGATGACAGACCGCGGCATGTGCGCATTCATTCTTGGGATCGAGATTTTTGCGGTGAAGATGGCAGTGTGAATCTGTGTCAGCGCCGTTAGGTCGATGAAGTCCACAAGCGCTTGGGAATGGAGGCGTGCAAGGCTGTGGCGAGTCCTGTGGATGTCAGCTCTCGACTGATATCAAGCAACACTGCGAGCAAGATCGATGTTCCATTCCGTGAATCTGTTGGTGCTTTAATGCATCTGACGACTGCAAAACGACCGGACATCGCCTATGCTGTGAGCTTTGTATCGCGCTTCATGGAAATCTCCAAGAAGAACACTGGATTGCGGTCAAGCGCATCTTTCGCTACCTACAAGGCACCAAGATGCATGAAATTCGCTACAAGCTACGTGCAAGGATCGACTTTGGTGGTAATTTGGACGTAGACTGGACCGGCGAACTCACTGATCGCAAGCCAGCGTCTGGCTACGTTTTTATGCTATTGGGTGCTCCAGTGAGTTGGGGCATCAAGAAGCAGCCAAATGTTTCACTTTTTACAAGTGAAGCGGAGTACATTGCACTAAGTCTGACGATTCAAGAAGGCAAGTGGATCCACCGCTTATTATGCGAGACCATGGCAGCTTCTAACGAGGACGGACCCGAGCTCATGATCCGCGAAGACAACCAGTCCTGCATCAAAATGGCCAAGAATCCGGTCTACCCCGTCCGCGCTAAACGCATTGATATCAAGTACCATCAACTTCGCGATACAGTCGAGCGCGGTGAAGTGAAGCTTAAATAATGCGAGACGACAATGAAGTTGGCAGATATTATGACCAAGATACTTCACGGACGGTGCCACAGGACTTAACGGAGGCGCTAGGCACGTTCGAATTGAGGGGGCGTGTTGACGGTCATCGGTTTTCTGCCAGTATTGGTATCCGTGAACGGTTCTTTCCGAACCGCCTGTTCAGCTTAGTATTTACGACGTAGTTCTTACGGTAATTACGGTAAATACCATAGTTAATTAGACGCGTAGGATGATGAGACGCTTCGCGTGATTGATGTGTATACCACATATAAATCATGTAGTAATTAGTAAGCCCCGATAATCAATCACTTTCGAATACTCCAACAAGTGAGCAAGTGTCTGCTGCTCTAATCTCTTCAGTCTCTCCGCTCCCTTTGCTCCGCTCTCTGCAATGCAACAAAAGTGAAGATGAATTGTGCTGTAGGAGGAATGTTTAGAAGTGATTGATTTATAGGTATTAACTCTGTCTACACTTGACTGCATCCAATCCCATGGTGCATATAATCAGCCTGATTTACACGCGTCCAATCATCCTACGCGTCTAGCCAACTCTGAAGTAATCACCAAAGTAAAAACTATTCCGTATACACTACGCTCGAAGATCGGATTGTACCAGTAACCTTCAATGCGCACCCTCAATGCACACTCTCAATTCAAACATGCGTGAATGTCGAGAGCCGCCGTCATGTCTTTGTGCCGTGGTCCTAGTAGTCTATTCGTCATGCTGTCCGCCAATATATTCGTCTTCTCACAAGATTCCAGCCTGACTTCCCCGCGCTTAACCTCATTACGGATGTAATGGTACTTGATTTTGATGTGCTTGGCTTGACCATGGTTCACCGGATTCGTCGTCATCTCGATGCAGAGCTGGTTGTCTTCCGTAATCTTGAGCTCGGACCCGGAATTGTCCACTGCGGCATCCAGAATTTTGCGCAGCAAGCGATGCACCCACTTACTTTCTTAAATAGCCAGACTTAGAGCGATATACTTGGCTTTAATGGAAGTTCATGATGCACTGTTTTCGACTCCAGAGATTCGACCCATGATAGGTTTTGTGTAGATCGTTCTTTAGGGTTCTATGCATTATAATAGGTCGTACAGCAGCTAGATGTATGGATATCTCTCACTTGTAGGTTGACAAACCACTGATGAGGCCCCCCGGCGGGGGGCCGAAACGCGTCTGGTGCGCGGTATTATACAAGTCGTTTACTTAAGTTAACTCCTACTTTTAACAGGTTATGAGCACAAGTGCTCGCTGCAGACATATCACCAAGGACCAACTTGTGCGAGGGACACCCCGCTCGAGAAGGCGCTCGATGCACAAGTAAGGCGCCGAAGAATTTATCGACAGGGATCTTTGACGGTGCGCGTGCAGTCGAAAAGGGTTTTGCAAGGGTGATGACGCGAGATGGTCTGCATGCGCGAGTGCTATCAAAGGAAGAGTCAAGTCAAGTGGTGACGAGTATATTTGTGGTAAAAAAAACGAAAACTACATACAAGGAGAACGACGACTACGAGATGTCAAGATGTGACATGGTGCTGGACGATGGGGGAGCCGAAATACCTGGAACGCTCGGTATCATCGAGGTTGGCTGGAGCGCCGGGGCAAGCCTCAATTAAGATTTCCATGGAGCGCGTATGCAGCAGTAAGGGTTACAGGCGGGTGGATACCCAAGTGGTCTGCATCTCATGTCGTCGAGGGGAAGTGTTGGAAGTGCATGATGTACTGTTTTCGACTCCAGAGATTCGACCTATGATAGGGTTTGTGTAGATTGTTCTTTAGGGTTCTATGCATTATTATAGGTCGTACAGCAGCTAGATGTATGGATAGCTCTTACTTGTAGGTTAACAAACCACTGATGAGGCCCCCGGCGGGGGACCGAAATGCATCTGGCGCGCGGTAATGTACAAGTCATTTACTTAACTTAAATCCTACTTTTAACAGGTCATGAGCCCAAGTGCTCGCTGCAGACATTGGGATACAGTGTCTTCAAACGCTTGAAAACACTGTATGGTAGGTCGCAGAAGGCAGTTTATGGACCTTCTTGAAGCGATAGCTGTTCAGCATGGAGATAGCGGAAAGCGGCAATGTCATGCATCACTGTAATGAAGTCCTCAACATCAGAGCGAAGCTCAGCAGCATCGGCGCCAAGATGGAGGACGAGGACGTAGCGATCTTCTTTTGAAGTAGTCTCCCCAAGAGCTACGGGAACGTCGTTCTCAACTTGTAGATGAGCAGCGCAAACTGCAACCGCGCGACGCTATCAACGTTTTGATAAACGATCACATCAAGGGTCAAGGTGCCAAGTCTGCGGCGGTGAAGACTGAAGAAGTGACCAAGGCATGTTGAAGGTATGGCACTGGAGTGACGAGAAGACCGGGAGAGACCGGAGGGAGCGAAGAGGCTTGAGGAGCGGAGCAGAGAAGACTTGCTCGGCAGAAGGAGAATTCGAAAGTGATTGATTATCGGGGCTTACTACATGATTTATATGTGGTGCACATATAAATTATGTGAAGCGTCTCATCATCCTACGCGTCTAATCAACTATGGTAATTACCGTAAGAATTACGTCGTAAATACTAAGCTGAACAGGCGGTTCGGATTAGACCGGTCACGGTTACCAATACTGGTAGGAAACCGATGACCGTCAACACGCCCCCTCAATGCGAACATGCACAAATCCCGAGAGTCGCCGTCATCTTCTTGTGGCGTGGCATGTGAAGTCCCTTCGTCGTGATGTCCGCTAGCACCATCGCAGTTTCACAGTACTTAAGCTTCACTTTACCGCGCTTGACCTCATCACGGATGTGATGACACTTTTTTTCAATGCGCTTGGCACGGCCGTGGTTGACCGGGTTCTTCGTCATCTTGATACACGACTGATTGTCTTCATGGATCATGAGTTCCGGTCCATCTTCATTGGCAGACATCATGATCTCACAATGCAGACGATGAATCCACTCGCCCTCTTGAATCGCCAAGCTGAGTGCGATGTATTCGGCTTCACTCGTGGACAACGAAACACTTGGCTGTTTCTTGCTGCCCCAACTCACTGGCGCACCTAACAGCATGAATACGTAACCAGACGTCGACTTGCGATCAGCGAGGTCACCGGCCCAGTCTGCATCCGAGTAGCCACGAAAGTCGATCTTGCTGGTTGGCTTGTAGCAGATTCCGTGCATCTTGGTGCCTTGTAGGTAGCGAAAGATGCGCTTAACTGCAATCCAGTGTTCTTCTTGGGGATTTTCCATGAACCGCGACACATAGCCCACAGCAAACGCAATGTCCGGACGCGTTGCAGTGGTCAGGTGCATCAACGCACCAACAGCTTCGCGAAAAGAAGCATTGACCTTGGTGGCTGCATCACTTGAAACAAGTCGAGAGCTCATGTCGACTGGACGTGCAACTGCCTTGCAATCATCCATGCCAAAACGCTTGAGTATGTCATCGACGTACCGACGCTGACACAGTGTCACGCTTCCATCTGCGCCATCCAAAAGCTCGATTCCAAGCACAAATGCACACTTGCCGCTGTCAGTCATCTCGAATCGTGTCTTCAGGTCGGTCTTGGTGCGTGCAATTAGCTCGCACGAGCTACCGGTGATCAACACGTCATCCACATACACCAGCAGCAGCACGCATTGCCCTTCCACAAGTTTTGTGTAGAGACATGGGTCGAGGCTTGACGCTTGAAATCCAGTGGCACATACGAACTCGTCAAACGTTTCGTTCCATACGCGCGACGCTTGATTTAGTCCGTAGATTGCCTTCACCAATTCCAGACAATTAATGATGCCTTCCAATTCCACGCCTTCAGGAATGACGCAGAACACTTGTTCCTTCATGACACCGTACAGGAATGCCGTCACAACGTCAAGTTGGTCGATGGTCCATCCGAAATACTTGGCGACTGCAATCACCATGCGTAGCGTCACGTACTTGACCACGGGCGAGAACGTTTCCGTGTAGTCGATCCCGTACTGTTGCTTAAAAACCTTTGCTACAAGACGCGCCTTGTATATGTCAGATGATCCGTCCGCTTTGCGCTTGATCTTAAAGACCCACTTCGTGCCAATGGCGCGATGTCCTTTAGGTAGCTTGGCTGCGCGGAATACTTCACGAAGTCGTATCGACTCAAGTTCCGCACAGATAGCTTCGCGCCAATGCACTTGATCAGGACCGCTCACCGCAGCTTCAAAAGTCGATGGCTCGGATAAGTCCACTGCTGTTTCGATGGCGTTCGCACTCGCACGCCAAAACACAGGCGGAGTCGATGCATTAGCATTCTTCGTTTCTTCCTCTTCTTCTTGGTGGGCCATGTGGTTATTTGGCGCACTCGATTCTTCTAGTCCAAACCGTTGACGCACTGTGTGCGCGGGTGGAGCTGGTACTTCTTCATCATTGGGACGACTCTTGCACTTGCCTGTTTGCTTGTACTGCGCTCGACCTAGCGCTTCATCATCCAGTCCGAGGGAGTCGAAGTCAAGGTCATCGGTATCTTCATCGGTAGTTGGCGGCGAAAGTCCAAAGGTGGACTCGTCAAAGTTGACATCGCGACTGATGACCACCTGCCCCGCCTCGATGTCATAAACGCGATACGCTTTGGATGCTTCTGTGGTGAAGTCCATCTCACAAAATTACTTTAGTGAGTGTCGATCTTCCACTTGCCCAGACTTGCCGACTCACGGAGGGGGTACTCCGATCCGTGCCTTACTGTATAACCTTGTGCTCACCTTGTGTACCCGTCGGTTGGGCTGGCTTGAGCTCTTCGTAACGGCCTTGGAGGATGTCGATCTCGCTGAGAGGTTGGGTTGAGAGTTTGCTTCCGGTGCGGAAATCTTCACACCACGAACAGGGGTTCTGCGATCTTGATTCTCGAGTCGCGGCGATCTCTAGTTAAAGATGTCGCGGTCTCGGTCACGAATCGCACCGATCTCGATTTGTCTTCGGGATCGGGTTCTTTGCTGTGCGGAAATCTTCACCCAGCAGA